ATATATATATATATATATATTCATAATCGTGAATTTATTATTATTAATTATTTTTATAATATTTAATTAAATTGTTAATTAAAATCTTTTTTTTCGAGAAGTGAACGAATTTGGAATATTATTATTAGTAAGTTAGCTTTCGGTGATAGTTTGAAAATGAGCGTTCCAACGAGACACACCGAAATCCATATTAAACAAAGATAAAATGGCTAATCCACAGTAACATCCACTCCAATTTGGATGCAATAGGTAAAGTGAAAAAATTGGAAAAGTTCATCAAATCAAAAGTGGAGTTAGAAACGGTATGAGTCCATTTTGAACAGAATTTTTATGTTATTATAAATTTATTATAACTTATGACCTGAGAATTCTATACGATGATCTGGATGCCAATGGAAATTTTAAACAAATGCCAAAATCATCGAAACAAGTTATGATTTTATTACTCTTTTAAGAGTAGCATCCTATTGGTATTGGTCGATAGACTATCTCCATGGCATATGTTGCACTCTTACAAAAATTGAAATATACCAAATCTCAATCCATCCATCCTACTCACCATTTTGAATAGAATTTTTATATTATTATAACCTGTGACCTGAGAATTCTATATGATGATCTGAATGCCAATGGAAATCCTAAACAAATGCCAAAATCATCGAAACAAGTTATGACTTCATCATTGGTTGACTATTCCAATGCATACGTTGCAAACTATTCTCACAAAAATTGAAATATCAAATCTCAACCTATCTATCCTATATTCATCAAATGTTCCAAATGTTCACCATTTTGAACACAATTTTTATATTATTATAATTTGTGACCTGAGAATTCTATATATCTCTATGATTTGGACGCCAATATCCTAAATAAATCATCGATGTTATGATTTCATTACTCTTTTAAGATCCTACTGGCATTAGTCGATAGACAATTTCCACCGCATACGTTGCAAACTCTCGCAAAAATTGAAATACCAAATCTCATCCATCTTACTTATTAAATCACAGTTGTTTTCAAAGAATAAAATATTCGACACTCAAGACGAAAAGCTGTAATCCCATTCATTCGAAGAATTATTTCTTCTCGTTAAAATCATCAAATTTTCGTTCAAAAATACTATTAATTGAGAAAAAGTGATGAAATCGCCTCGTATTTTTGATTAAGGATCATAGCTAAGAAATATGTGATACATTCCCCCATTTCACTATTTGTGATTGTATCGCACGAGAGATGGATATTGGAGAAATACGATTGTAGTCCATGCTAGACAAATCATTTTTGATCGTGTTCACGGCGATCGGTTCGATTTTTTCAGCGATCGATCAGAGGACGGTGCCCGAGGAGCTTCCGGTATCTGGCGATCCGTACAACGAGACCACGCTGGAATTGATCTTTCCCGGAAGGCAGCCGCGTTTCAAATTGAACGGGAAGAAGCTGCAGCTGCTCGAGCCTTTGGACAGGGACGATGAGAATCTCTCGCACGTTGTTTTTCAGGTGAGACACTTTTTTTGTTTTTTTTTTTTTTTTTTTTTAATTAATCGTTCGTTAAACGAAATCAAAGATGTGTTTAAATAACTAACTTTTCCTCTTCTTTGGGGAATTAAATCGAACAATCGGATGGATCACGAAATCTTTATAAAAAGAAGCGAAAACTAGCTTTCTTATCAATTATTTCGAATACCAACTTGCTTAAAAAAAGAAAAAAAAAGAATCAGCCAATCACCGTTATAAGGAACGATCCGTTCTCTTCTCTCGCGACGATCAACTCGAATCAAACTGGAAATCCAACTTCTTGCCTTCTCTTACCTCTCTTTCGATTCCCTCCGTCACGTTTCCATCGAACACGATCCCAGGATAGGGGGAAAAAATCCCTAGAGACAGGCCTCTCTTCTAGGACAATCCTTTAACTCGACAATCGCTAATGATCACGATTGACCGCGCGATTGTCGAATCGATCTCGTTTATCTCTTTTTCTTCCCTTCCTTCCTTCCTTTCTTTCTTTCTTTCTTTTCTATTCCACTTGTATACATGGATGCTCGTTATAAATCTTAATCTTAGATTTATTTATATTATCTATAAATCATAATTTTTATGATATTAAAAATATAGTGTTTTATATACTAAAAATATTTCGATTTTAGATCAATGTTTATTTGTATAATTGCATTATATATAAATCATAATTTTTATAATATAATGTTTTATAAAATTAAACAATTTATATTATCTATAAATCATAATTTTTATGATATTAAAAATATAATGTTTTATATACTAAAAATATTTCAATTTTAGATTAATATTATTGTTATTTGTATAATTGTATTATATATAAATCATAATTTTTATATGTTTTATATTAAAATTAAATAATTAAATTTATTTATTATATTTCTTTTATTTAATTATCAAAATTTATACAAATATCTATATATTAAAAATTAAAAATTTACAAATTTGATTAATTTATTTTTGGTTAAATTTGATTGAATATTAATTTGGTGGTTAAATTACAAACGAAAATAAATAACGGAAAAATCCTCCGTTTTCGTATCCCAGCTGCGAACAACTTTTCCAAAAAGTTGTCCTTGCCATTGGAAACGGATTCCATTTCCGTGGCCTCGTCTCATTTTCTCATCGAAGAAGAGAAGAAAGAAGGAGAAGAAGAGAGAACCGCTTGTTCATCTTGGAAAAGGAAGAATCTCGTTTAACTGTGCGCGCGTCTCTGCATTTTCTTGTCCTTTCTTTTTTTGCCTTTCGTTCGCGGCAAATGAGCTTAGACGGGCGCGGCAAACGAAGCCGGAGGCGAGGGGAAAGGGACGGGGCTGGACGAGGCTGGATCGAATTTCATTCGAGCTTTTAAGGCTTCGCCTCGGCTACCGCGACGTTTCGAACGCGATTTTATGGATATTCCCGTACGGGAATACATTTTCTTCATTCGAAGGAAAACCTTTCTCTATGTGTTTTATCGTATCATCTCGTGCGAGAGTAGTTTTCTTTTTCGGTATAACAGATAATTCGATTCGATGGGAGGGGAAGAGAAATTAATCGAAGAATTGCGGAACGGTTTATTGGTGTCCTTTCGCTGAGTGTAATCGAACACGATCGATAAGTTATAATTGAATCGATCGAGTTTCGAGAGACGAAACATTTTCGAGATGTTCGAGTTTTCTTTTTTTTTTTTTTTATGCATTCAATGTTTAATCGTAACAACGTTGTACAACGTGATAATAAACGTGTTGTTCCTCTTTTCTTCCGTAAATAAGAAAAGTATTCGATGATTCGAAACACGTAAAATAAATAAAAGTGAACGTTGAATTCGATGATAATTTCGATAATGCTGTCTTGTGACTTTGGAAACGAAAGGCCTGTAGATCAAATGATCGAAAATTGCTATAGAACGTAATAATAACGATTATACGTTCTCTTTTCTCTTCCGGTAAATAAGAAAAGGTTCGACGATTCAAAACACGTGGAACGTAAAATAAATAAAAATGAACGTTGAATTCGATGATAATTTCGATAATGCTGTCTTATGACTTTGGAAACGAAAGAGCAAAGGAAAATCCTTGCCACGAAGAGAAAGGATCGATTCGAATTTGAAATAATCTTTCTTCAACAATTATCGTAAATGGTGTGAATTACGGGTGTAGGGAATACGGAGGTTAGATCAAGATCTGCCGCGAATCGTGCTTCTTCTCCACTGGTCACGTATATTTTCTATGATTTCTTTATCCATCGAGCGGGGGATAGGTCGATAGGTAAGATCGTTTCGATCAAAATTTGCCGACAAAAAATTTGAACACTCGCCACAATACGCTATTATTATATGTATGATAATGATTCATCGATGGAAAATTTAGTAAATTTGAAAATAAACACTTGATTAAAAGTAAAATTTAAGAGAAATTAAAACTTGACGTTTTAGATTTAAAAAAAAAAAATAAATAAAGCGTCGTTAAATAACGAGTAGTTTATGCTTCTGGAATTTTTTTTTCTCTCCCCTCAAATTTATTTAGACTTAAAGAAAAAGTGATAGTGGAGTTAAACGATCCACGAGCTATCCAACTTTTTATCGGCATTATACATAAAATGATTTTACCAACCGCAATTACATTCTTTTTCTAAATTGTATACATTCCGTATAGTCGAGTTTTTACCACTTACAATGTAACTGTAACGATCATCATCTTCGTTTCTCGATTATTTATTTACGTATTTTCAAGCATTTAACACGATCAAAACGAAATTACGATTATAATTTA